TCTTCCACAAAAAGTGTGGTATACCCTGACTTGTGAGCTGTTCAGATGCGACTCCAATATCGGGCAAGTGCGAAGCATTAGAACGAGAAAGACTCTTCAGTTGGAGGCCCTGCAATCTTCAAATAGATGGCTTGCCTCCCTGCCAAGGCCCTTGAGAGCAGCTGAGTAGCCAGTCCACCTTCGGCCGCCAACGCTGATGGCGGAGAGGGGCTGAGCAGCGCCTCAAGTACATATTGTTTCATGATCAGCCACTGAGATGCACAGGACTGACTCACCCAGAACCAAGGTGTCGAGGCAAGGCTGGAGGTCATCGTTAAACTGAACGTTCAGGGTTAGGGTTGTTGATGATGTTCGCGCAAGAACGTCGAACTGTGTGTTGTTCGAGGAGGTCCATTCTGGCAAAAGGACTCGGTTTGAAGCGGGCGGCATTGCTGAGGTGCCTTTCTTGACCTCTAAATCTTTCTTTTGGCAGAAACTATTTCGCTATTTTGCATGCCGAGTGGATTTTTGTCTCAAGCACCGCTCGACTTATCGTTATCTTCCCCTCTTCACATGCCTCAATAGCCTTTGTGACGCATGTACATCTCAGCACACCTAACATAGGTGTCGGCCACGAGAGAACTTGCAATATTGGAATCAAGTGGTCCAGAGTCGAAAATGGCGTTCACCATGCACTCCCATTCGGGGCAGTTTTGCCCCGGGCACGCGAAAGATCAGCTCGAGGACATCGTCCTACATGCCATCAGCATCGGGTACAAGACGATGGGCTTAACAGAGCATATGCCGCGAACCGAGCTGTCGGATCTGTATCCTGAGGAGGTGAGAGTCGCATGCTCCCCCCCCCCCCCCCCCTTTTTTTTTTTTTTTAAAAAAAAAAAAAAAGTCGTCAAATCTGACGTTCCTCCTGCAGCTTGATACCGACCCGCACGCCTCCCTTGCGGAGCTCGCGCCGCGCCATGAGGCGTACCTAGTCGAGGCGCAACGGCTGCAGGCCAAATACGCCTCTCAGATCCATATCCTGATCGGCATCGAGAGCGAATTCATCCGCGCATCCTACGGGCCCCTCATCGAGAAGCTAGCTGCCCCGGCCTGTATCGATTACATCCTGGGGTCCATCCACCACACGGCTGGTATCCCGATTGACTTCGACAAGGCCATGTACATTCAGGCGAAAGACGCCTGTGGCGGCTTGGAAATGTCCCTGTATCAGAGCTACTTTGACGAGCAGTGGGTCATGTTGCAGGAGCTCAAGCCACGCGTGGTGGGCCATTTTGATCTAATCCGTCTGCTCAGCGATGATCCAGCCCGGGACCTCAAGAGCTGGGATGGGGGCAGGCTGTGGGAGAAGGTACTGCGCAACTTGGAGCTTGTGGCTAGCTACGGTGGTTGGCTGGAGTGCAATACCAGTGCGCTGCGGAAGGGACTGGCTGACCCCTATCCAGCAAGGCCAATTGCTGAAGTGAGTATCTGCTTGCTTGTGAGATATTCAACTGAGATTAACAAGAATATAGGAATGGGTCAAGATTGGAGGTAAGTTCACTTTCTCAGATGACAGTCATGGTATTGCTCAGGTTGCAACGAATTACATCAAAGGCCTTGACTACCTTGAGAGTCTAGGTGTGAAGGAAGTCTGGACCTTGGAACGAACCTTGGTCGAAGCAGAAAAACATTTGAGGGAAAAGTCAGTTGCCATTTCTGACTTTCGTGAGAGCTTGAGATTGGAGTAATTGGAATATAGAGCAGAGGCTGGAGTACTTTCTTTCGGTTAAGCTTCCATGCCTGTTTGATACACAACGTAACGGCATTGAGATTCGTTTTTGCGTTCAGTTTCATTGCCGTTCAATAGTTCTATCAGGTCTTACTTTGGGAAAATCCATAGGTCGAAGATGGCGATGGGGCAACAAGCAAGTCTTGCAAGGGACAGTGATACTTCACTCCCCGGTCTCATTGAGGGTCGAATGTGCCATGCGTAGTCGGCATCTCTCCCAAGAAGCTATTGGTTTGGTCTGATTTGGCATTAGGCTGCGACTTTAATAAACCCCGCCCGGTGAACGGGAGGGTCAATTGATGTCGGAATTCACTGCCTTCTCTTTCTGGCCCCCATGGTGGGGTCGTCAATTCATAGCCGGGGAAGGAGCAGTGGGTGGTGCTGGATGATAGTCAATTGGGAAAAACGGAAGGAGCCAAATCTTATAATCCCCCCCTAGATGCTTTCCAGCTTTTCTTTTCTTCTTTCCGGTCTTGCGAATGCTCTACCATGACACCACCGCAAGATACGCATCGCAGGTCCCAGTCACGTGAACAATCACAGCTTTTTTCCCAAGCTCATCTTTTGTCGTCACCACCATGGCTCACTCCTTCCATGTCAAGTCGTCGCAGCTGCATCTCAAATGGTCCCGGGCTCTGACGCCAGTCTTGACCGTCTCTTCTGGCGCCGAGGTCTCCTTTGACCTGCGCGATGGCGGCAATAACCAGATCCGCCCTGATAACGCTGCCACCGCCATGGCTGACTTCAACTTTGCCGATACAGACCCAGCGCTGGGCCCCGTGTTCGTCGAAGGCGCAGAGCCAGGCGACGTGCTCAAGATCGAGTTCCTTGAGCTCGTTCCGGGTGAGTACGGATGGACCGCCATCTTCCCCGGCTTTGGCCTCCTGGCCGACGAGTTCCCTGAGCCGCAGCTTAAGATATGGGACCTGACTGAAAGCGGACTTGTCACTTCATCGAGCGGCCTTCGCCACGCCGTGTTCAAGAAGGGTATTCAAGTCCCTGTGGAGCCGTTCCTCGGTGTGGTGGGTGTCGCACCTGCCACGCACGAGGAGCTCTCCACTATCCCTCCCTACGCGGCGTCAGGTGGCAACATGGACTGCCGCTACCTTAGCCGCGTGGGCAGTGTCTTGTATCTTCCCGTCAACGTTCCAGGGGCGCTGTTCAGCTGCGGGGACGGACACGCAGCGCAGGGCGACGGCGAGGTATGTGGGACCGCCATCGAGACGCCGATGCGCGCGCGTCTACGGCTGACGGTGGAAAAGAAGGTCATCCGGGAGGGGAAGGGATGGCGTCTCAACTGTCCGCACTATATCACTACGCCCCTGACCCGAGAGCAGCGCGAAGCCCAGGTTGTTGCCGACAAGGGAGAGTATGCGGCGCTCGGAATACATTCCGATCCTCGCGAAGCCAGTCGCATGGCACTCAAGGGTTTAATAGATTGGCTGGTAGCAGAAAGGGGGCTGGACACGCGGGCCGAGGCGTATATGCTCGCCTCGGTGAGCGCCAGCCTCAAAATGGCAGAAGTAGTTGATATGCCCAACTACGCCGTTGCGTGCTCGATACCGTTGAGCCTGTTTGTGGTGGAGTAGCGGTTGAAGTCTTGCGTTGACACGAGGTAACGCCGTTTTGTACTGTTTTACAACGAATATGCTTTTTTGCCTCACCTCTATGGAACGAATGTGCGGAGCCGGCTTCCCCCTTTTGCCGAGGAAGGGCATTTATAGAAACACGACATGTGTAAGCACTGGTCCAATTGCAGCCGTGCGTCCCAAAACCAGGCCCTGGGTTTGTATATCCCTTGAGGCGAGGCAAATACTCCCGAGTCAGAGAGTTCTCCAATATTTGCCTCAAGATAAGCAAGCACATGTCATCCACAGTTCATTTTCGTGCCTCATGCTCTAACCAACAGACCGATGCCAGCTGTCGCAGACGCACCATCACCACCACTACCACCGCCCGGCCAGACACAGAATAGCAACAAAACAAGCAAAGCCCAACTAGAACCAAAATACATAGCCATCGTATCCCTGGTCTGTGGCGTATGTCTCGCCCTGTGTCATAGATGTGGCCTGTTGGATGTACCTCGACAACCGCCGTACGCGCGCGTTCCGCCGCACGCTCAAGTCGCATAACATTGCTGGCGAGGACGAACACAATGCTGGCACCGGCGCAAGTTTAATAAACTGCTCTAACTTTGGCAGCTGTTTTCCTCACATATACTGATTCGAGATTCCTTCTGTTTTGGGGGGGAGAACTGTAGAATTTTCCCCAACAGCCAAACCCAGAACCAGAGGAACAAACCCGCCTAGCAATCCGCCGTACGAGCCACCACCATTATCGCTGCCACTACCAGCAGCACCACCGTGGTTCCCACCGGCAATTGATCGAAACCAGCAGCAGCATCAGACGAAGCAGCAGAAGCAGCAGCAAAGGAATGGGAATGGGGATAGAAGACTTGCAGCGCACCTCGCCGGGCGGTGTCCCCCGATCGGCCATCGACGTGCAATGGCGCCGCCCGCCCCCGCCGTCGCGTAGGGGCCCTGTTGCTAGTGCCTCATCGCCTTGGGTGGGAGGCACCACCATCAAGGCGTCATCGGCCGTGTCTCTGCCGTCTGTTGTTGAGGAGGTGAAACGAAAGCGGGCGAGCGAGGGGGATGTCTCGTTGCCCTCCTCGCGTCTCAACGCTTCGAGTCCGTTGGCAGAAGAGCATGGGGAAGAGGAGGAGCGGGATGTAATGGTTTGGCTTGGCTGCCGGCGGCGATGATGCAGCTAGGGCATTCAAGCGGTTGGGATGTCGGTTTTGGCATATGTCGTGCTCTGACGGAAAGAATGGTTCATTTGTCTGGGCAAATGCCCGATGAGATTGGCAACTCGGGAACTCCCTTTCTTCCTTTCATCTGTACAATTTTGTATTCTATCCAGCGCATATATCTAGATTGCCGCTTCTTTTTATCTATAATTTGTTCGAGTAGATGCCTTTCTCGTAAAGTTGAGGTTTTCTTGCTCATGATTACCTTAGAAAAAGGGGGTTGAACCCCCCCCCCCCTTTCCCCGTTTTGTTGTTCTTTCTTTCCACCTTCTCAAGCGATGCTCTACCTACAACCCTAACCCTTATACCCCGCTCCGTCTCCTCCTTCCTCCTCTTTTCCTTGCAGAAAAGGGATGGATACAAGCCCCATTACCGTACCCAAAATTCATAATTCATCCGGCTCGTTCGGAGGGTCCCAGCAGCGGTCGGGTGGCGAAATGGTATCGTGTGGTCCTCCTACTCCAGAAGGATCAAGACTGAGGTTGTGGGTTCGAGTCCCATCCCGATCGATGTATTTTTGCTCTGTTTGCTTTCAAAATTATTAAAGCTTGGGGGTGTTTCGGGGGGTTTCTTTTTTGGGAAAGATTGATTTGGTTTCGGGCTTGTTTTTTTGTGGGGGTGGGAGTTAAGGTGGTTAATAAGGAGCAAGTGGTTGCATGGAGATCAATCGATGCAATAATCCTGTCAGGTTGTACCTTGGTAAAAACTCGTGCAGCTTGTTATAGTTAAAATGTTTGGTGCATATGTTGGTGCATCTTTTCCCCTTTTCTTTCGTTGCTGTTCTAACTGCAAGTCTTGCGCACTCAACCTTCTTTACCGAGTTAACTTGGTCATTGTATCCATTCAGTTGACAAAGTGTTTTTTCGGTTGCGTTTTGGGGTTTGATGAAACACGAACGTAAACTTTTAATTGGAAATTGATCGTAGCTTCTTGTAACTACAGTCTTTGTCTGGTGCTTTAACGGAAATTCCTAGTTCTGTTACCTGCAAGCTTTAACGGAGGCAATGAGCCAATGCACCGGAATAAGCCTCTCATTCTCATGTACTTTGGGTAACTGATTGCAGACTGTACAGACAAACAGTGCGTATAAGGTCTCTTCCAACCCAAACTCAATATGGCGTGGACGAAGTATTACAGTCCCTTGTGGGGAAAAATAAATTGGCGGGGAAAAAAAAAAAGAAGTAAAAAGGCCCCCCCCCCCCCCCCCAAAAAAAAAACCAAAAAAATGATCGAAGAGCGGGAAGTCTAGTGCAGAACCTGTGACAAGTTGGGATTTTGTCTTGTTTAACATCATATAGTACACCCGTACATCATATATGATATACGTTTATTTACCTACTGTTCTCTGTTCTCGCACAAAGTTACCCACAGCGACTAGAAATGCGTGAGCAGAGGAAATAGCGTGCCTACGAACCGCCTCTCCAGAGAAAACTCTTCTGAGCCGTTTGCGGGGCGACATAATGGCAGACGGTCAGGTTGGGCAGTGGAGATACTACTGACATCCCAAGCCCGCAGACCTGTGTGAATACAGGCATTTTACCTTGCCTTCTTTACGTCTTTGTTGGGGCCTCGATATCTTCTACCATCATCTCACTGCTCTCTTGGCGCCTCGCCGTCGTTTGGTGTCTTACTCGCATCGCTGATGACGCGTGCTGCCTCACCGGCCGCTGGCTCCTGATTTTCTTGACCAGGAAGATGTGCGGACTTACGCAGGATGACCTTTTGTGCCCTCTCATAGTCCCACCTAGCCTCTACGTCGGGTACCAGCTTGAATATTCTCTGGCACTTTTGGAGCTCTACCTTGAGGTGCGTGATCTCAAGCTCTGCCGCGAGTCTGCGCTGTGCTCCCCGCTTCATACGCTCAAACCCTTGGACTCTTGCTTGCAGTGCCTGTAAGCGATTAACCCTGTACTCCCGCTCCGGTTCGCTTAAGGAGTTTGGCTTCTTGTCCACATGGCGGCCATTCCTCCTCCTGATTTCCGAAACCTCCTGCTCCGCGAGTTCTATGTAGTCGGCGAGAGTGTGGATCTCTATGAGATGCGGCTCATAACGCCATGGCGCATTCGCGGCGATGTTCACGGATGGTTTCCGACGGAGCAGCCACGCAAGTCTCAACTGTGCCTGCTGGATGTTCAGTTCCAGCAGGTCGGCCACAATATGCGTACTCGTTTTCGGTGCAACGACCTGCGCGGTCCCTTCGTCAGCTGCAATACAGGTAGCGGTCGCGTAGTCGCCATCATGGCTGATGCTGATAGGAACATGGCAGTCAGGAGTGTCAAGGGCCGGGTTGCTCCTGATGATGGCAACAGGAGGCCAACTTCTATTTGCGACTGCTTCGTCCTCCGCAGCCTCCCTCCGTACTACGCCACCTGGATTTTTGGTTACGAGCATTTGCGCCTTTATTGTAATGTCGGCGAAACTCAGCGCGCGGTAGGGATGGGCTTTAATGACGGCCTCTTTGGCAGCGAACCTAGTGAAGCGTCGCAAGCCAGAAGTCAGCCAAAAGTAGATAGATGGCCAGATGCAGAAAAAGCCTACCGTCCTGCTACAAAGTTCGACAGAATTGTTACATCGGGGCTGGACATCTTGGAATGGGAATCAGGTTTCAGGGCTTCGGCCAGCGCTCGTGCAAGTTTTGGTTTGGGGTTGAATTCAAGCTCCTCGGGCGTTAGGACGCGCCGGAGAAACCGAGGCGCAGATTTGGAGGTAAGGATATTTTTTATCCTCGAGATCTGACATATATCTGTCCCAATTCGCATCTGGAGCGGGCGGTGGATGATCGGTGGTGGCATTGTGTTGATTCTCTGGTTGGCACTTGATTGCTTGTGAACCGAGGAAGCCAGGCGCGTGCAACGAACGCGAATGTTTGGAAAGTCCAGCTACCTAAGTTGGGGGAGGAGCTTGCCACCTTCGCACCCCCCCCTAGTCTCCACTACACTAACAGAAGAATCTTGCATCGGATTGGCTACAATTTAAAGGTGAATTGCATAAACTGTACAGAGTACGGATGACCCTCCCAAAGAAATGGCTGACCGCCTTTGAGACCCTAACCCTAACCCTAATGCATTGAAGGTACAGGGAGCAATCTCGCTAACAGACGATGCAGGCGCCACGCTCCAAGGGGAGTTAGCGGCTGAAGCCACTGAACTCTTCAGCGCTTTTAATTCTGCCGGACCAAAAGAACCGAAGGCGGTGAGTCATTTCTTTTAGTAGGGTCATCTGTATAGGCACCCCAACTGGGCAGCAGCTTTTTTAGAATCCAAGGCTCGAATTACATGTTAGTGAAGCACATTCAGACGCGTGGGAATATCTAGAGGGTTTTGAATTCTTTATTACGCTTGGGTAATACTGATTAAAGCCTCCTTATAATTCAGTAAGGTATTGGAGGCCCTAGGTTGGTTAGAGTTCACCGTGGTTCAATTCACTCACTAACATAGATTTTTTCGTGGAAGTGTACTTGTCACTGAAACACATCTAGTCATTAATATCATTAACAAGAACAACCATAATAAAACGCTTAATTCGGCTCGATCGCATCATATCGTACGTAAGTTCCCGAATACCCCTGGCCTTTTTGTTCCTTCTCTCAATTCAACAATAGAGCTGAAGTTTCATTTTCACCAACTACGTCCTTTTTGTTCTCCCCTCATAGTTCTCACCATCCAAGCCATCGTAGCCTTCTCTCGAGGCCATCTGATTTTGTTTAGCCTCATATGCACGAGACAGAAAGCCGTGTGAACAAACCCGCGGCGCTTGTCCAAGAGTCGAGGCAGGAAAGAAAAGTGGCCCAAAAAAAAACCCCCCCGTTTAGGAATCGGCGAGCAGAGGAGCCCGCTCGGTATCGGCCGTCTGCCGACGACCCCAGCCGACCTCCTTACCAGTCCAGGCAGGGACAGCGACGAGGACAGTAAAAACAAACAACATCGCCATGATGGTGAAGGCAAAGATCCACTGGAAGGCAATAAACTTGTTGAAAAATTGAGCCACTCCAAGAGAAGCGGACAACACGCTCAGGGAAAAGCCCATGGTGTAGTCCTACACATCGAGAGTTAGTCCTCAGAGAACGTTAATTGCGGCAGGACGGTCAACTTACCTTGTAGATGATAATGAAGAACATTCCGTAAACCAGAATCGACCAGACGAAAATATTGGCAAAGATGCGGGCAACGGTATGGTCGGGATGGTGAACCATGATGGCACCATTCCAGTAGATCGCCACAAACGTCCACGCCAACGGACCGGAGACTGCGGGCATGTGGATGAACCGGGGATATGTGTTGTGGCGGAAGTAGAGAATTGTCAGGTTGAAGAAGTTGATGATCAACACAATCTCGGCCCAGACGAAATGCGAGCGGACAAAGAGCATGACGAAAGCGAAGTGGAGGAGATTGTTGAAGATGAAGTGCGAGCCCACCGAGCAGGCGGCGTTGACCGTCTCAACATTCGTAGAGAAGAGGTGCGTGATGTACACCAGCTGCAGAATAAAGAGGAAGAGCCTAGAGAGTGAATATGTTAGCTATGGCACGGAGTCTGGCGGTGGGTGTATGTGCACTGCTTGGGACAGACTGACCAGAAGAGGGAAGTGATCAGGTAGTTCTGGGCAAAGCCCGAGAAGTACCAGTAGTTCTGATCCCAGATTCGACCGTGGCGAAGGTGTCCGTCATGGGGAACTTCGTAGGTGTAGTAGATGGTCACGATAACCGACAGAAGCCAAGTCAGCAGCGTAAGGACCTTGTAGGTAATCACCGAGTTCTCGCTGTGCGAGTCCCGTTTCGCAAAGGGGTTGACTGTGGGCATCCTATTAGCAAACGAAAGTAAGCTAGACATGGCATTAGACATACTGTGGCCGAGACGCTCCATTTCGGCTGCAAGTCAGGATGTCAAGATGGTGGGTTGCTGCCTTGGTCGGTTTTGAAGGTATCGAGCGCTCTCGATTGTGGAAAGGAGATCACCAAGAACCACGACCAGCAAAATCTTCGCGGGAAGTACGACGTTATGTAGAAGAAGAGAAGCAAGGAAGGCACGCCCAATTGCGGTGGCCAAGTCGGGGAGGGGACTATGGGCAGGTGGTGCGGGCGGGATGGTTGCTTCTGCGGGGAAGCACGATGCAAGTGCGAGGAAGGGCTGGATACGAGGGGCGAACAGCTTGTTTTTTCGAGAAAGTGAAAGGCAACGCCTGCGAGCTCCTGCCCAATCATTTGAAGCTATGGTCCCGCGATGTCTCTCAACACATCAGACCGATTTCTCCGATTCCATTAGGCCTGGGTCTCCAAACAGGCCACCGCCTGCCCGCCCAGTACGTCACTGCTTCGTTCTCTGTCAGGTGTGAATAAATATCCACGGTGGCGCCCTGGAATTGCTCGTCCGTGGTCCCATCTTCGTCCATCGCAACAGTCATGAGAAAAGATCAGGCCAGCCCTTTTCACTTTCCCTTACTCGTACCTGGGACAGCGTCATTGGTAAAACCGTCCATTTATTTAAGTGACATGAAACTTATTCAAGGAGGTTG